GTGTGTATGTGTGTGTGTGTGTGTGTGTGTGTGCTGACGGAGCTCTTCAGGTGTAATTAGTCCCACGAGTTCACACATGAGGCGTGAAGTTAAAGCCGACGTCCCCCTTGCTGGGTCTCACCTCGTCTCTCTGCCTTCAGCTTTATGAAATAAACACATTTCAGCTTTTACTGCACATATATATGAACTGATATACTGTATATATACTGTATATATATATGTATATAGTACAGTATATGTATATATGTATGAGCCTGTATATGAGTTTGACTCGGTGCTGTGTTCCTGTCTGCTGGAAGGCTCGTGACTGTAGGTTGTATATAAATGAGTGTGATGCTGTTAGTGAGAGCTGAGTGTTGGGCAGTACAGCAGAGTGCTGATGGGATACCACAGGAAGGCTCACTGCCCATTAATGGACTCTGTGTGACCAGTAACGTAATTGTTGAAATGAATAAAGGCATTAGTGTCGTCCACAGCGGGGCCGGCTCCTCCGAGGCGAGGCAAAACTCCGGATATTCCCTGTTTGTTTAAACACGATAACGCGAACCAACCGATCAGATCCATCAGCACAAAGTGATCAGGACATTGATCCACCTATGGCCTATTGATCTGATAGTATGATGTAACAGCATGGGCAGGAGAGCCAGCTGATCGACACTAATTCAATTCTTTTTAATCTAGAATGAACAACCAGAGTCGTTCACTGGAGAGAACAAACATCCACAAACACGGTGAGCTTGTTCGGTTTATCGTCAATAAAGCTATTGATCCTTCCAAACGCCCTAAACAAATGCTCATTGATTTCAGACAGAAACAGCTTCTTATTCGTAGCTCCTAACTGTCGAGTTGGACATTTATCAGTTATTGTTGTAACAGTCTGAATTGAATTTGATTAGCTGTAGCTGGCTAATTCATTACGCTAACGTTAGCTGTAGTAGTGTCCTGAGATAACTTCTGTTATGAATTGGCGCTTTACAAATAAAATTGAATTGAATTGAATAGTAAGCTATGACGCTGCACATGCTAACTGTTGTAGGTTACAGTAGAGCTGTATTATTCTGTTTAACAACACATTAAATAAATGTGACTAACGAGTGGTTAGGTAGAACGGGTTGTGGTGCATCACTAATGTCTGATATCCAGTGTTTCTCCGGCACTGGCCAATGCTCAGCACAGATCTGCAGTCAGACAATCTGGAAGTGTCTCGTTCCCTCGGTGCCAACGAACGACCTCCGAACGGCCCACCATGTTTTTCTCATATGTAAATTTGTACTCGCTCTTTATTTTTCTAAAGGTTCACTAAAGGTGACCATGTGTCGATTAAATAATCAGGATATTCACTGAAATCATCTTCTCTTTCTTTCTTTCTGAAAGTTGGGTTATTCACAACTGGAAACAGAGGGAACAGCTAGCCTTGCTGTCTATAGCTTACTGACTAACATGTTACAGCTCATTAAACCAAAGAGTGAAACAATAGTTGGGGGTTTATTTCTTGGACTGGCTCTGAGCTGTTGCTAAGCAACCAGTGGAGGAAACAGGAAGTGATTGGTGATAGTCTGTCCCAATACACAAACTAGGGTAACACTGGTTACAGTGGAGGGTTAGGGTAACACTGGTTACAGTGGAGGGTTAGGGTAACACTGGTTGTGGGGTTGGTAACACTGGTTACAGTGGAGGGTTAGGGTAACACTGGTTACAGTGGAGGGTTAGGGTAACACTGGTTACAGTGTGAGGGTTAGGGTAACACTGGTAACACTGGAGGGTTAGGAACACGTTACAGTGGAGGGTTAGGGTAACACTGGTTACAGTGTGAGGGTTAGGGGTAACACTGGTTGCAGTGGAGGGTTAGGGTAACACTGGTTCCAGTGGAGGGTTAGGGTAACACTGGTTACAGTGGAGGGTTAGGGTAACACTGGTTACAGTGTGAGGGTTAGGGTTACACTGGTTACAGTGGAGGGTTAGGGTAACACTGGTTACAGTGGAGGGTTAGGGTAACACTGGTTGCAGTGGAGGGTTAGGGTAACACTGGTTCCAGTGGAGGGTTAGGGTAACACTGGTTACAGTGGAGGGTTAGGGTAACACTGGTTACAGTGGAGGGTTAGGGTAACACTGGTTGCAGTGGAGGGTTAGGGTAACACTGGTTACAGTGGAGGGTTAGGGTAACACTGGTTACAGTGGAGGGTTAGGGTAACACTGGTTGCAGTGGAGGGTTAGAGTAACACTGGTTGCAGTGGAGGGTTAGGGTAACACTGGTTGCAGTGGAGGGTTAGAGTAACACTGGTTGCAGTGGAGGGTAACAGTGGTTGCAGTGGAGGGTTAGGGTAACACTGGTTCCAGTGTGAGGGTTAGGGTAACACTGGTTACACTGGTTACAGTGGAGGGTTAGGGTAACACTGGTTACAGTGGAGGGTTAGGGTAACACTGGTTACACTGGTTACAGTGGAGGGTTAGGGTAACACTGGTTGCAGTGGAGGGTTAGGGTAACACTGGTTACAGTGGAGGGTTAGGGTAACACTGGTTACAGTGTGAGGGTTAGGGTAACACTGGTTACACTGGTTACAGTGGAGGGTTAGGGTAACACTGGTTGCAGTGGAGGGTTAGGGTAACACTGGTAACACTGGTTGCAGTGGAGGGTTAGGGTAACACTGGTTACAGTGGAGGGTTAGGGTAACACTGGTAACACTGGTTGCAGTGGAGGGTTAGGGTAACACTGGTAACACTGGTTACAGTGGAGGGTTAGGGTAACACTGGTTACAGTGGAGGGTTAGGGTAACACTGGTTACACTGGTTACAGTGGAGGGTTAGGGTAACACTGGTTACAGTGGAGGGTTAGGGTAACACTGGTTACAGTGGAGGGTTAGGGTAACACTGGTTGCAGTGTGAGGGTTAGGGTAACACTGGTAACACTGGTTGCAGTGGAGGGTTAGGGTAACACTGGTTGCAGTGGAGGGTTAGGGTTAGTCAGTTTATAGACTCCAATGATAAAAGTATCATTCTTCATGTAACTGAGCTCAGAGTGAACAACATTATCGAGGTCTGATCACCACAGACGACCATCAAAGACTCTTTATTAGACACATATAATGTAACTCTGTGTGTGTGTGTGTGTGTGTGTGTGTAAATATTGTCCACAGAGACAAACAGCTCTCAGTCTCTGTTCAACTCTTTAATTCCCATAATCCTCCACACAGCAGACACACTTTAAAGTACGGTGGCCTGAAGGGGCTCTCTCCCAAACTGCCATTAAAATAAACTGATTTCTTCTCGCCCCTTTTAATGCTGAGGTCAGCTCGCCGCTAACGAGTTTGGATTGACGTCAGCGGAGGAGCCGCCTGGTTAATTAAAGCTCAATCAAACTGTGATGAAAAGCCGACAGCCACAGACGATCAGTGACATCTTCAGATCAATTATATCCTCATTTAATGACATCAGCTCCGGCTCCTCTTCGCTAACGTTTATTAGCATTCAGATATCTGCTGGATTTCATCCATACTAAAGCTAGACTCATAATATAATATAAACACTGCCTTTATTCCACATGGTTCAATCAATATAACAACATATTATAAAGCTAATCATTAATCATAATTATATTAATCATTTATCATAATTATTGGGAAGCTGTAATACTGTATTTACTATATACTGTGTATTGGGGATCTCTGCTGTAGGCAGACAGAGGAAGAAAACGTATCCCTGAATTAGTGAATGTTGTTAAAGTGACGTCGACAGAATGAAAAAGGCAGAGCAGCACAAACATCAGGAGCCATGTTGGATTTAATCACTTAATGATTAAAGTGTTATTACTCACAGAGTCTAACTTCAGCAGACCAACAAACATAAAACCACCAAGAGAACCGTTCAACAGAGACCTCAAAGTCACTGACGGACACCAGGAAACCCACCGTCACTGCTGGTCTGTATGAGCTCACTAACTACAAACCATCTCCCTGCAGAGGTCCAGGTCAGCTGCCAGGTTCTGGACCAGCATCCACTGTAGGACAGAGGCTTTGTGCAGACAGAACCAGAACCAGAACCAGTAAGTAATCCGGTTCAATGGTTTACATGGTAGAAAGGTTTAAAGGGCCCCTCTGCAACCGATCTGTTATCTTCTGTTAACTGTAATCACAATGTTTGGCTCCATGTTAGCATAGCAACTGCTAACTGATGACTAAAGTCCTGAACCCGAACAGTCTGACACCGTCTGTCCATTGGTTGGTCGATGTGCTCATTGGACTGTGTGTGTGTGTGTGTGTGTGTGTGTGTGTGTGTGTGTGTGTGTCCTGACTGATAGATCCGTAATAAAAGCCTGAATCCTGTTCCCTCTGTTCCCTCCCTCCTCTGTTCCCTCCCTCCTCTGTTCCCTGTTCCCTCCCTCCTCTAATTCAATTCAATTCAATTCAATTCAATTCAATTTTATTTGTATAGCGCCAATTCATAACAGAAGTTATCTCAGGACACTTTTCAAATAGAGCAGGTCTAGACCGAACTCTTTATAACATTAATTACAGAGACCCAACAGTACCACCATGAGCAAGACCTTGGAGACAAGGGCAAGGAAACACTGCCTGTTAAAAGGCAGAAACCTAGGACAGATCCTCCGGCTCTAGGTGGGTGGTCGTCTGTCTCGACCAGTTGGGGTGAGAGAGAGAGAGAGAGAGAGAGAGAGAGAGACAGAGGCCTCTGTTCCCTCCCTCCTCTGTTCCCTCCGTTCCCTCCCTCCTCTGTTCCCTGTTCCCTCCTCTGTTCCCTCCGTTCCCTCGGAGGAGAAAGGGATGTGACTCTTCCTCAGTGAGCTCAAACTCAAGACCACCACTTCAGAAGCAATCTGAACTCTGAGTCTAATCTCTATAAACAGAAACCTGAACGCTTCCGCTACCACAATCTGGTCTAGAGAGACCCTGCAACCACCCACAGACTGAGCTGCTGTACTTCCACCCAGGCTCAGGTGCATTATGGGTAATGCTCACAGTCAAACACATAAAAAGAAAACACCATACCCCTGTCTCTCTCCGTCCACCAGGATCCGAACCAGGATGCCCGTAACAGCTACCAGGATGGGGTAGTGGTCTACACTTTCCAGACCTGCACACGCACGCAGACAGACACACACACACACACGCACGCACGCAGACAGACAGACACACACACACGCACGCACGCACGCACGCAGACAGACAGACAGACAGACAGACAGACAGACAGACAGACAGACAGACAGACAGACAGACAGACAGACAGACACGCACGCAGACACACAGACAGACAGACAGACAATCAGACACACACACACACACACACACACACACACAAAAGTGCATCTGTTAGTAAAGACAATATGATGGCAACTGGTAAAACTTTATTGTTGATATTGAATCAATTACTAATTGAGTTTAATCAATAGCTTCAATTAGCTGCTAATAACTGTGTGTCTCTGTGTGTGTGTGTGTGTGTGTGTGTGTGTGTGTGTGTGTGTGTGTGTGTGTGTGTGTCTGTGTGTTACTGTGTGTCTCTCTGTGTGTCTCTCTGTGTGTGTGTGTGTGTGTGTGTGTGTGTACCTGGCAGTCTCAGGTTGACGACCCGGTCAAACAGGTTCTTCTCTGCTGTCACTCTGTTTAACACCTGGTTGAGCAGCTGCAGGAGGAAACATTGATCTCAGTCAGTCTACAGAAGTTACAGTGAGTTTCCAGCAGTGCGCCACCTGCAGGCCACAGTGGACACACGCTGACCCAGTTTCACCTGCAGGCCACAGTGGACACACGCTGACCCAGTTTCAGCTTCATTATAGTTTCCTTTACAATCATCTGTCAGCGGTGGAAGAAGCACCGAGCGCAGTGAAGTGACTCACCTGAGCGAGTCGTCTGAGCAGCAGTTCTGCAGAGGGCCGGGACCAGTCCAGGAAGATCTCCGGGACCAGAGTGACCGTCATCTCCAGCACTCGCAGCAGACTGACCGACAGGTCGAAGCAGGTCGCACACACCTGGAACCACATCGTGCAACAGGTGAGCAATGTCATCTAAAGCAGTCTGACAACAAGGACACAGTTTCCTTTCTACAGTTTGTATTAGTCAATAGAAGAAAGTACTGGAACAATCCACCTGTAAATATTCCCTCCATATCATCTTCCCACCTGTTGTACATAATAACACCTTTATAGTTCTGTAATCATGGTGTGTAACTCTAAAGCTTCCACTGACAATAATACCACCAAACTATGAATGAATGAACTGTTTTCATGCTCTGTCTAAAGTAAGATCCTCTGATTCTGTCTCGATATTTACTGTTTGTCTGTGTATACGGTACTTTCATGTCACTGAGGACCTTGAGAGAGGGGGGAAAGAGAGAGAGAGAGAGAGAGAGAGAGAGAGAGAGAGAGAGAGAGATGGTACAACACATTCCTAATAATAAAGAATTTCCAACACTGACCTCTGCTTTGTATCTACAGCACTGACCTGTACCCTGTCTTCTGTAACTTAGTATAATAGTCAAATTGACTCAATCAAATATGTATTAACTGTGTCTGAAAGACAATTAGTGTCAAATTATATATATATATATATATGCCAAATATTGGATTTCACTAAAACTATTTTGACTTATGCCCTGTATCTACAGAACTGACCTCTGCCCTGTATCTACACCACTGACCTCTGTCCTGACCTATGTAACAAAGGTGTTATTGCTGTATACAACAATCAAACTAAATTATTCACTGATTAAACATCTCGCTGTGTGTTCCCAGCAAATGTGAATACAATTATTTGCATAAGTAAGTTACATACAAAGTCAATGCAAATACCCAAATGGGGCAAATATGCACAATTAGCCCAATTTGCAGTAAAAAATGATGGCAGTATGAGGCAGTATTGTGTGTAGGAGCGGAGAGACAGACATGTTTATGACTGATTACCTTCAGCTGACGAGTGTCCACAAAGTTTCTCTCTGGACGCTCTGCAGCCTGCTGGATCTGAAAGAAAAAGAAAGGACACAGTGAGAGGAATCATCATTAATGTGTATCTGAGACAACAACAGGTCAACAGAATTCAAATTCAAAAACAGCCACAAAATAAAAAATACTAAATTATACTGAAATAAAAACAGTTTCAGTTCTAATTGTGTCTCTGTGTTGATAATTCATTCTTCTCTTGTTACAAGCTCAATATCTTCTATATTGGCACAAAAATATATCGGCTATCAGTCCAGTTCCTTTTTTGTTTTTGTCATTTTTATTTAGCTAATTTAATGATCTGCCTCTGAAGAATGAGTGAGAGGAAAACCAGCCTGTAGAGCCAGAATACTTTCACATCTAACTCTGTCAGACAGCAGAGTTGGTGACGGCTGGAACAGTGGAGACTAATAAAAACTGTTTTAATTAGTTTCTGTCAGTTTGTAGTGTGACAGTGGATCTACACGGAAATTAATTTTAATTAATTAATTCATGTTAGCTAACTGACCTCCTAAGTGAATGGCTGTATTTTTCTTTTTAATGAGGGAAAAAGGTGTTAGAATATTTACTTTCTTGAGTTTATGTTGTTTATTGAAGCTAATAGAGCTCATGGGGGGGGGGGGTTTGTGGCTGCAGACATAAAGGTTGTTAACCCCTGGTTCAGCGTGTTAGCGTGCAAACATTAGCTGATTAGCGGTAAACACAAAGTGCAGCTGAGGCTGGTTGGTTGGTTTCTGGTTGTTAACACTGACCTGATGATGGCAGAGGATCAAGAAAGCTATTACAACTATTACAATTCATCCTGAACCACATTTAATCCATCCAACAGTTTTTCAGTCTGGACTGACGAGGCTAACGAGGCTAACGAGGCTAATGAGGCTAAAAAGTGACAGAAAAGAAACAAAGCTTCAGTTTGCTGTGTATCACTGAGAGAACAGTAAATAGTTCAGCTGCTGTGCTGAAAATAGACTTTCCCACAGGAATAAGATCAATTAGGATACTAAGTGGTGCAAAGTTGGATGATTCACAGAAGATTTATCTAAAACCCAAAATAATCTCATTAGAGGAAACAAACACAGCGCTTTACTCTATTTTTAAATGTGGACCGCACCCTGCATTCACTCTTATACCAACACTGTGATTGATGGGAGCTTCCAGTTCTTTTTTTAGCCTTTGATAAATACAAATTAATTGGAGCAGCCGAAATGTACCATATATAAAGACATAATACAGCAGTAATATAAAGACATAATACAGCAGTAATATAAAGACATAATACAGCAGTAATATAATACAGCAGTAATATAATGCAGCAGTATATAAGAATAATGCAGCAGTAATATAAAGACATAATACAGCAGTAATATAATACAGCAGTAATATAAAGACATAATACAGCAGTAATATATAAAGACATAATACAGCAGTAATATAAAGACATAATACAGCAGTAATATAATACAGCAGTAATATAATACAGCAGTAATATAAAGACATAATACAGCAGTAATATAAATCCAGGAACATCAGATAATAAACACTAACGGGGACATTTACTGCACTGGGACTTCTTTCAGTCAATGTTACTTTAAACCTCAGTGAGGTTTATAATGCAGTATTTGTACTGCAGTATTTTAACAGTGTGTGTGGGGGGGGGTATTAGTACTGAATGGACCTGAATACTTCCTCCACCCACAGAGAGACCTCTGGTTTTATTTTAATTGTCTTTAGCCTGACTCATAGCTCTAACTAACTCTAGCTAGTGTTACATGACTGTAACATAAAGTTTTTATTCATTTTCTGTGGCAGCAAACACAACCACTAACTGTTCTACTGCAACCTGAGCTCATCTACACACTGTATGACTGACTGGAGGAGCCAAACTACGCCTCTGTTCACATTAAGATGCTAACAACGTTAGCTTTTTAAACATCTCTTGTTAGAACTGGAGAAATGTGGTGCTACTGTTGATGTCCAGCGTGAGGAGAATAAATCGGCCCATGCGATGTTCTCTTACCTCTTGGATCATGCCGATGAACTCGGAGAAGGCCCAGTTGAGCTGGTTGAGGACGCTGTTGAGGAAAGAGGCAGCCATGTCTTTGTCCATGCTCAGCAGCTCTGCCATGTGTCTCTGTAGCAGCAACGACGGACACGGCTCTAAACCAATCAGACAAGGGAAGAAGACAGGTCAACAAACAAGACAGTAAATGTTTGATTTTCAACTGCGTGTTCCTCAGAGGAGGAGGAGGAGGAGGAGGAGGACTGGGTAGTGATGAAGGAGGTAAAGACACAGCAGAGGTGGACAACCAGCTGGCTCTCCACCGCACAGAGCTGCTAGCACTCTCCTAGTGGTGGAGAGTTTTACCAGGGTTCAGGGTTTCCATGGAAAAAGCTCAGGAAGCAACTGTGAGCTCCTTTTTAAAGCTCCAGTGTGAAACATCACGGTAATATAATATCCATAGGAAGGTTTCCATTAGTGTTTAATCACCTGAGTATAAGAACTGTTGTGTGTTTGTTACCTTAGAACGAGACGTTTTCATCTACCGAGGGAGCGCGTCCTCTTCTGGTGGAGCCATGTTGAACCAAACAAACACTGGATCTAGATATGGTCTTTCATGAGCCACCATAGTTTCTCCTACAGGCTTGGAAGGCTGAGCTATATTCAGTTGGTTGTAATCTTAACTTCACCACTAGATGCCACTAGATGAAGGTTTATTGATGTGAACTGTCCCTGTTCAATAAACCAATAAATAAATAAGAAATAACAGATAAGATGAGACAAGAGGAAATAATCCACCATCTCCATCATACTGAGACCAGAGAGGAAACAGGGGGGAAGAGGGGGAAAGGATTAGCAGGAGAGAGAGAGCGACAGAGGAGGAGGAACAGAGGTGTTTCCTGTGGGAGACGTGATGGGAACACTGTGAAGGGTTTATGAAGTCTAATAATCCCAGTTTGTCCTCTCCGTCCTCCGACTGCATCCCACAAGGATCCAATCAACCCGTCTGAGGCCTGAAGGACGGTTTATAAAGCCAACCATACCCAGAGGTCAAAGAGGAGAAATGATACTGTATTATACTTTATACTTCTTACTACATTGATCCTTACAGGTTGAACATAAAAACACAGATGACTGTTAGAGATTAGCTAACTGAAGAGAAAGTATATGTACGCAGGACTTTTACTTTTATTGGAGTATTTTTATTTTTCCTGCAGCGAAGTGAAACGATGTAGCTTTTGACAGGAGACATTAAATGTTTAATAAGTAATAAAATGCACCCTTCCTCAGTTCAACACACTCATCTTCACTGGGTCTGCTACAGCCAGCAGCTAATGTTAGCAGCTTCAGATGGATATTATTCACTTCACTGACTGTAGGACTCTGCTCGTATTACTGGTCAGGTCAGAAACTCGCTCAGCTTCCTCCTTTCCTGTACTTCCTAGTCATTTGAAGATAGATTAGCCTAGCACATAGCATATGTAAGTACATGAGAGGAGGAAGTTGACCGAGCTTCTGACGGTGGCTTGCTCTACTGTTATTGGAATATGGAGCAAAAGGGTTAGCTTTACCTCATTAACATAACAAATGAGTGCTTCTGCAGTCTACTGATAATGGGATGTCACATCCTAACATTCACTAGGATCACTGGTGCTAACTATCAATGAAACAGAGGAGCTTCATGTGAGACACGAAGGGGACAGCTGGTACCAACAGAGCTAAAATAAATGAAGACAGCTGAACAAAAATGGCGGTGATGGAAAAGAACTTACTTTGGAAACTAGCAATGGACAGATCCCCTGAAAGACATGCAAATGAGAAGGCACACAGATGATAGTCAATTATCATGCAGGAAGCAGAAAACCACAAGAAACAGGACCACAAAACCAGATAAAGGGCAATGACGCGGCGGTTAGCCTAGCTTAGCACAAAGACTGGAAGCAGGAGGAAATAAAATAATATGTCAAAACTTTACATCAGAAGACAAATTCATCCTGACGTTGGTTGAGTGGACAGAGTAGGAGGACAGGTTATCTGAGCTCCGACAGACATTTCCATCTCTGAGTCCTCGGAAAAGAAAACATAAGAATATGTTCTGAAATGATCGACCAAGTGAAATGTCAGTGGGGTGGTAACCTAACCCTCGGCCTGTAGCCTACACCAGTTCATTCAGTTCCACTGCACACATCGTCTCCCATCCTATAGTAGCTCACCGCGACGTTAGCTCACTGCGACGTTAGCTTGCACTCCAGATCAACATTCAGCTGGTGGCAAGAAGCTTCCTTCCACAAAGTTTAATGGGAGAATATCTCCAGTCACCATTTGTCATGAGCTGCCTAATATTCTCGTCACAACGGTACTCACTGCTAACACTAGAAGCTAACATTGTCTCCACAACGTCCACATTAACCCGAGGGCTGTTTGTTGTTCAGTTGGTGCTGCTGCAGGTTATACAGTTATGTTATTTATGATGGACTTGTTTGTAAAAGTCTCTTTTTTTCTTGGGTCAAATGAATCGCAGTTTCCAATTCGGGACTCTATTAAAAATTGATACATTTCCTGCAGGGTTGTGCGGAGTTGTGTCTGTGTTTATTTGTGCTTTAGAACGTAACCACTGTGAAACAATGTTTGTCTGATTTACTGCTTTGTTCTCACTAATGCGCTCCCTCTCCTCATTCACTCTCTTGAGGAGTTTTTATTTTTTTAAGGGTGATGACATCATAAAATATGATGATGATGATGATGATGATGATGATGATGATGATGATGATGACAACAGCCCAGAAAGAATAAAACAAGACAAAAAGACTAAAAGGGAGCAGAATTAAACTAAACTGGATCTTTCGTGGTCTGAACAGTCTTAAGCTCTGGGATGGTTAAGATGCCTTTCTTTGAGGACTCAACAGCTTAGGGTTGTAAAAGTTTAAATCTTAAAATCTATTCTTAAAAGAACAAGTAGCATTCAGTACAATCTGTAACTGTCTGAACAGTTAAAGCAATAATATATAACATAAATGACAATATGTTCCACAAGCTTCGCAGTAATGTTAGCTCTGACTTTAGAGGCAGCCGCAGTGACATCACCGTGTCAACCAGCCCAAACTGGTCTATAGGGGAAATTAAATAGGTATAAAGTATAGGAATATATATATATAAAGTATATGGTAAAAACATTATATTGTGATTAGTTTGACTGATCTTGTGATATGATTCATGATTATTGTGGGAATTATCATTTTTATTTGGACTGAAAAACAGTATAACAATTATGATCATGTGACATTTCTTGGTCTCTGTAGTAAACAAACGAAGATTTGTAGGCAGAACTTCACTATAATGTTATTTTATCACACATTGCAGTATTGATAATATTGATCATCTGTGCAGCCATACTGTTAAAGACAATAATATGACCTTGAATCCTTCAACGTATCCTGTCATGTTGCCTAATAACTGCCAGAAGATTGTAGCTCTGCACTGGAGCTTTTATAAATCAATTAACTCCAAACCCGGTCTGTGCAGCCTTGTTTATTCACTGTATCCATGGAAACGATACAGACGAACAGCGTGAGAAAGTGAGGAAAGCAAATATTATTGATTTATTCATTTGAGCTAAACTCTTCTTAGGGGCACGGACAGCTGGGAACATGCTGCTGGTTGTCTGTGGACTGGAGTTTCCCCGCTGCCCACAAACAGCCAGCGTATAAAGAAATAAACAGAGAGAGAGAGAGAGAGAGAGAGACCACCTACTCTGCAGACTGGGGAGGTTGGCGTCCTCGGGTTTGGTTTTCAGGAGGTGAGGAAGACGAGTGTATCTGTAGCCAAAACCACAACCCTGAAAAACAACACAGAGAGCTCAGACGGCGCTTTATCACGTACGAGCAGCGCTGGTAGAATATATTATAATATATTATTACCACACTGTACACACATACTCTGTTACAAAGGAGGAGCCAGGTCTATATATTGTCTCTTATAAACAGCTGGGATGCTTGTGTTGGTGCTCACCCTCCACAGCCGGACCAGGATCCAGTTGGTCTGGGCCCAGGGTCTCTGTTCGTACGGAGCCAGCAGATTCCTCATCATGGCAACGCGTCTGAAAGCACACAAACATCCGTCAGCACTAAAGTTCAGCCCATCAGAGTGTGACAGAGAATACACAGCTCAACTATCATGTATAGATACACAGAGATCAATCATAGATCAATCACAGATCAGAGACCAATCACAGATCAATCACAGATCACAGATCAGTCAGAGATCAATCACAGATCAGAGATCAGTCAGAGATCAATCACAGATCAGAGATCAGTCAGAGATCAATCACAGATCAGTCACAGATCTATCACAGATCAGAGATCAGTCAAATATCAATCACAGATCAGTCACAGATCAGTCACAGATCAGAGATCAATCAGATCAGAGATCAATCACAGATCAGAGATCAGTCATAGGTTTACTAAAACTGACAGTTTTAGTAAACTACATTTACCATCTGTGACCTGAAGAAGACTCGTTCCTGCACTAAGACTTTACACTGAGCTCCAGTAGAGCCAGGTCCTTCCTCACAGAAAACACTCACTGTTCCTCTGGGATCCTCTCCACTGCCCTGAGGGATTGTGGGTAACAGACGTAGCTGGCCAGGGCCTGCATCAGAGAGTCTTTGATATCTGAGAGGAAGAGAGATGCAGATTGGTCAGTGCAGCTCAGGGTTCAATAACCTTCGACCCTACAAACATACAATATGTTTCATTAGTTCCACTGCTGAGGAACATACAGCGGGTATCTGATTCTGGTTCAGATTAAAGAAAGAAATGGAGGTGAAACAACAGCTATCAAACAAAACTCTATCACGCAGCCCTGTACACAGACAGGAAGGTCTTCTGGATTCTGGTTTAGACCTGAACTCAACCAGTTATCTCTCCAAGACCAGGACCAAGACCAGGACCCAGATCAGATCAGTCACATCTGGAGTCATGAATTCATAAGTTGTCTGAGGAGAGTCCAGAGACCGGCACCAACCTGCGAAAGCTGACTGTCAGTGTGAAGGAACAGTGTGAGCGTTACCTGTTCCGACGATACGTGGATCCGCAAAGTGCTTGGCGAGGATAGCAGCGAGCTGAGTCAGCGTTTCTTCGTAGCCTGAGGATGTAAACACACAAACTGCTGACTCACCGATAGAGTCAATAAATCAATCAACCTCAGGATCCAGTAGGAACAAAGACCATCAGCACCAACCAACACAACCTTACAGTGTTCATCCTCAGCTTCAGTTTACTGACTTTAGAGTACTGCAGGGGTTACTTGAGATTTATTTTTGTTAAATGTTCATTTATAGAATATTTCTCATGCATCATTTCTAAAATAATTCAATCATAACAAGTTCAATAAAACATGTTAACTGCCGTAAACTGTCTCACAAAAGAAGGCGCTAGCTAGCAATTCGCCAACTACCTTCCTAATCTATATCAATCATTAGCACACACTGACTCACACACACTTACTCAAACAGAAAATAATTCACAGTCTAACTTATGGGACTTTTACCTGGTAGCTCCTCCATGCTGTTTGCAGGGCTGAAGTAGTTCTTGAGGGCGCTGTACGCATTCATGGCCACATTGAGGTAGAACTCCGGACAGAAGGCGAACAAAGAGCCGGTGTTGTCAGCGTGTTCGATGGTCCGAATACAAACACAGAGCAGCCAGTAGACATCCAGCATCTTGTCCTGGACAGACAGACAGACAGACAGACAGACAGACAGACAGACAGACAGAGACTCTTTAGTTTTAGCTCCCCTGAAGTGGTCATTATCTCCCTGAGCTCCACACAAAATCAACAAGTATAAAAACCACAATTTAAAACCACACAGCATCAATAACTGTGATGTTTTCTCAGTGTCCAGAGAAAGCGGGAGGATCTGGGTCACCTTGGAGTAGATGGTGGCATTGATCCAGGCCAGTCTCCTGCTCAGGTGGTTCAGCTTCTCTGCAAAAACCTTCTGGCTTTTCTGGAGCTCCTCCAGGATGTCCGGTCTCTGAAGGGCAGAAATCACAGTTAGCTGAAGCCTGGAACAAGAAGCAGGGCTCAAAGTTCAAAAGAATCCCGAGACTGGACTTTTTTCGGGGGGGAGACGATGTGTGCAGTGGAACTGAATGAACTGGTGTAGGCTACAGGCCGAGGGTTAGGTTACCACCCCACTTACATTTCACTTGGTCGATCATTTCAGAACATATTCTTATGTTTTCTTTTCCGACGCATACGCTAGGCGATTTGGCAAATTTTGGCATTGTGCTTGGCAGGGTACAAGATGAGCTACCTTTGTGACGTCGAAGAACGTTTTTGGCGCTAGTAGCATATATTAGCTTCTTCGCACACAACACACAGAAACAAGCACCTGGCTCTCTTCATTTTTGGCACCAGCTACCAAAAGGCTTGCCGTCTCCGCCCCTTTCTTCTATCCACGCCCAGCGCCATTTATTTTTAAGTCCTTTTTCAGTAAGGACGTCTTCTCCAGGCTTCATGAATTTCCCCTCCATCTTTGGATTTCAGTGAAACAAACGCCGGCCTGGATGCTGCGTTCAAGACCACTGGGATCTAACCGAGAGGTCATAGTGTACACGCTACAGGTTAAGGAGGAGGAGGAGGAGAAAAGCGAAGTGTGGCATATTGTCACTATCCGCTGAACGCTGAAAACCTATGCAGCAGCAATTTATGCTTATTTTGGAAGAAGATGAATATACGTGTAATTTCCGAGTTTGACGCTGTTCAATTGATTTTCCACAATTCACAACCCGTTTTTTCCTGAGTGGTCTGGAACGCAGCATCAACTGCTGCTGGCCTCCCGTGGTTACTGTTGCTATGTCTGTCACAACCTTCGGAGTACATCCATGGTCACAGCAACCGTAACTATGCACGTCATTGCGTGTGTATAGTTACGATTGCTAACGTTGGATTAGACAGTAGCGGTTTGAGGGAGGGGCTTGACAATATCCCGCATCAACAGGTTTTTTACCTTTTTTTTTTTTTTTTTTTACGAATCGCAGTCAAACGCCACATGCCGGAGATCCGGCACGGTGCCGGAATACTTTAAGCCCTGAGGAAGAGAACACTCCTGGCACTGGTGTGGACAGCGTCAAGGCAACAAAGTTAATTGCAATTATTATAATATAAATGATTATAAAATCATATAATTGGCACTTATTCACACCAACAGATGGTTAAAGTCCACATACGTACACATACACTGTCAGGACCACAAATATACAAACCCTGATTTGTTGACTGTGTGTCTCTACTGATAATTGCAGAACTAATCACGTTACTGTAGCGTTAGCTGGTGCTGAGCATGAAGCTAATGAGATGAGCTATCAGGAGCCGACAGGTGAGCTGACAGGAGCACGGCCAATTATCTTCAACGGAGCACCGACAAACAAAAAGTATCCGACTCCAGAAGAACCACACAGCTGATAGACACTGATAATCTTACAGATAACGTAACATGACTGCAGAGGTTTCTAGGGTCCTCAGAGGGAGGGAAAGGTTCAGGTGTTACAACAGGAAGTCACTGCAGTTGGTCAGCAGCTGAGATCAACTGCTCCTAATGAACAACAAACTTTGGACAGATCAAATGTAGTATATAATAAATATATTACTCTGGCGGGGCATCGTGCGATCTTCTCCTCCGTGTCCTTCAGTGCAACGGCGTACTCATGGACGTCATCTGACACCACCACCATCTGGAAGAAACAAATATTATGGTAATATTATTACCATAATAATACTTTTTTATTGTATGTTATTACAATATTATTATATATTATAACAGTAACAATAGTAATTGATGCTATTTTACCTGAAACCTGTTCTACGAATCAGAAGTCTTCATTTTTAAAACGTTTTCATACTGTCTCTGATTGTCTTCCAGTAGCTGTGAATGAGCATGCTGTCTGCTGACCTGTACACTGTGTCAGTGCTACTGTATCAGTGACCATATTTAAACTCTCTCCAGGTTAGTGAGTTGGTTGATTTCCTTTGTACAGTTTAGAAACGGTCAGCTCTGTATAATATGTTCCTTTTACAGGCCTGAAAGTTCTTGTTTCAACAGAGTCAGTTATTTATCTTTACGATGGTCACAGTCTGTATAACACTGGCTGGGGTTGTAAAGAGGAAGTGACGGTGACCTTTCCTCTTTTCCACAGTTCACATTATTCCTCCTTCACTTCACCATTTACAGCAGACCAACGCTATAATTGGTCCACGTCAACAACACATAGTTGAGTCTGTTTCTGAATAAATAACCTGGACGCTGTGAGGCGTCGGTTGTCGTCCACTGTGGGATTTACACGGGTAAACGGCCATCGAATCTGTCATTACTCTACAACCACAACACAACAGAGGCTCCAGAAACCAGTGGAGCAACGTCAACCATACAGAAACCAGTGGAGCAACGTCAACTACACATAAACCAGTGGAGCAACGTCAACCATACAGAAACCAGTGGAGCAACGTCAACTACACATAAACCAGTGGAGCAACGTCAACCATACAGAAACCAGTGGAGCAACATCAACCATACAGAAACCAGTGGAGCAACGTCAACCATACAGAAACCAGTGGAGCAACAACAACCATACAGAAACCAGTGGAGCAACGTCAACCATACAGAAACCAGTGGAGCAACGTCAACCATACAGAAACCAGTGGAGCAACGTCAACCATACAGAAACCAGTGGGGAACTCAACCATACAGAAACCAGTGGAGCAACGTCAACTACACAGAAACCAGTGGAGCAACATCAACTATACATAAACCAGTGGAGTAACAACAACCATACAGAAACCAGTGGAGCAACAACAACCATACAGAAACCAGTGGAGCAACGTCAACTATACAGAAACCAGTGGAGCAACGTCAACCATACAGAAACCAGTGGAGCAACATCAACTACACATAAACCAGTGGAGCAACGTCAACCATACAGAAACCAGTGGAGCAACATCAACCATACAGAAACCAGTGGAGCAACGTCAACCATACAGAAACCAGTGGAGCAACAACAACCATACAGAAACCAGTGAAGCAACGTCAACCATACAGAAACCAGTGGAGCAACGTCAACCATACAGAAACCAGTGGAGCAACGTCAACCATACAGAAACCAGTGGAGCAACGTCAACCATACAGAAACCAGTGGAGCAACGTCAACCATACAGAAACCAGTGGAGCAACGTCAACCATACAGAAACCAGTGGAGCAACGTCAACCACACAGAAACCAGTGGAGCAACGTCAACCATACAGAAACCAGTGGAGCAACATCAACCATCATAATCGGCCGATATTCGCTTTCATTAGTTTGATCAGTGATTTCTATAATCGCGGATCAGAAGAGCTGATCTATTGTATTCCACAGGAAGGTTATTCAGTCTGGGACTCTGGCGGGCTGCCGGTTTATTAACGGTCAGAGACTCGTTTTAGTATTTTACAGAGAAACAGAGAGAGACTGTCTCTGGTGGATGTTTAAGAAGCACAGAGCAGCTAACCTGCTTACTGCTGATAGAAAGAGAAATCCACCTTCCACAGTTCCTCTCTAAGCAGCTCCCAATAACCACCAACAGGCTGCAGTTTAACTTGTCATGTTGAACGTTGCGCACCAATAAATACACTGTTGTTTATTTCATCTTTTAATTTCTAAATCCGACTGATTGTCTCCGCTCACAAAGACTTCTCTACTCACACAGAATTTATGAAACCTTCACACTGAACTGAAAACCTCACTCTGATCGATGTATCAGCTCCTCACAGCAACAACAGCAGCATCTGGATCATAAACAAGAGAGACCTGAAAACACTGAACAGCCCGTTTCCAGGCAGAGACAGATATCACATCCTCTCACGGTGCTGTGGAGCTATAAAGGCCGCGGCCAGCTCCAGCACTGATGGCTTTTTAAATTACGTGGCAATAACAGAGAGGTCGAGAGGCCGTCTGTCAGGCAGGACAATTTCTGATTCAACAGCAGAAAGACAGGATTACTCGGAGATGAGACAGAAAATAAAAGAGATGAGACAATCAGAGACGGCAGAAGTGTTCTCATCATCAGAGGGAAACAATCCAGATATTATTTAACCAGAAAAAAGCCGATATGCTCACATATGCAAACACATTATTCATACTCACGGCCGCCGTCAGGAGGGTCAGACGCTGAGGTCAAAGAGTCTCAGGAGGATTAATAAAGCTTCACTGATTTTGTCTCCTGAACCCAAACAATAAAAACCAGCTCACACAAACGATCCTTCACTCCGTCACCGAGGTCTCGAACCAGACCTGAATCACCACTCGACAGGTCCTGAAGAACAATGTCACAGCTGTGAGCATTCAGAGATTCATCAATCACAGACACCTGCAGCTCTGAGAGAGCACTATGATTGGGTCCCACAGGATTTAAATCTCACAGGTCAACAACAACGAACTGCGGGTCCCCGGTTCAGCTAGCACCAACCACAAGGACAAGGTCAACAAATGAAGTTGAAAAGAAGATTTAAAGCATGTTTTACAATGTCTATCGTATATGAATGAATGTTCGCAGGAGCCGGATACAGAAACAGGTCCTGCACAGGGAACTGAAAGTGGCTCGCGGACGGATACGGAGCAGATTCAACACCACATTTCATCACACACTTTCACTGCTGCTGTTATGTGTTAATGTCAGTAAATCTCAGAGCAGGGCAGGTGTGCTGTGTTTAACAATGACTGGAAGAGCATCTGATTTAAAAGCCATCTCTTTCCACTGAGTGAAATCCAGTTCGCTGTGCCTGCGGGCCTTTCAGTGGTCTAACTGGGAAACTAGAGATGTTTGTCAAATCCCAGTACGTCACCACTGCTGGCTACAAAAAACCAGCCTGGAGACGAACATAAGGCCAATCTGGAGACTTCAGACCGATGGAGGACGTCACCGTAGTGTCAAAGAGCTGCTAGCATGTAGAAGAATGTTTTCTGTTTATCTTTTAGCTCATCCCTGTCTTCATTTGAGATTTTCTGATGAAGTTCCAGTACATGATGTATTTAAATGCAACCTTTCACATGCTGTGGGTTGTGAAAGGTTACATTATACACAGTATGCAGAGGATTCATTCATTCATTCTTTAGATCGATGACTTTCTGCCTGCCAGTTTTACATTTACAACATTAAAGTTGTTAGGGCTGGATCAGGTGAGTCCTGAACCATCCCTTAGTTATGCTGCTATAGGCCTAGACTATCGGGGGATTTCCCATGGTGCACTGAGCTACTCTCTTCCTCTCTCTTTCTGCACTCATTCATGTCCCTTTAATGCATGTTACTAACTCCACTTCTTCCCCGGAGTTCTTGTGCTTTCTCGTCTCGCAGGTTCTCATGGATCCTGGTGGAGCCTCCTGCCATGGTCCTGCTAGATTGCCATTGCCAATACTGTTGTTGCTGTGCACCTGTCTGTCTGTCTGTTTCGCTCTCTCTCCTCTCACCCCAACTGGTCGAGACAGACGACCACCCATGTCCTGAGATAACTTCTGTTATGAATTGGCGCTATACAAATAAAATTGAATTGAATTGAACATTAAAGTTCATTTGGTGCCATTATAAGCTTACTGGGGCACAGAGCTACACTTTTTAGCCTGTACCACATCCTGTAAATAACTCAAAACATGGAGACAACTCTTGTGCTCGGTGGTGTTTAGAACTTGTTGTATTGCACTTCTGAAGACTCTTATTTCCTTTTCATTTCCTCTGTTATAGCCTGTGTTTTCTTTGGCTGCAGTGTGCTGAAGCCACAGTAATCCAAGGTTAAAGCCACTATTTGTAGATTTGGTTCCCCTCAGTGTTAGAACCGACCCACGAGACCAACTGAAGAGTCAGAACGCTGAACGATGCTACAACCACATAAGAATTATTAACACAGCTTTTAAACCAGCAGCTCGACCAAGAAAAGGACGTTTGTGAAACCTCAACAGATCAGTCAGTCACAGGAGATCACACACTGACCTCACAATCACATTTCAGAGTCTATCAAAGCCTCTGTGTGAAGGTCAGATTCTTACGTATGAATAAAATATGCAACATTAACCTTTTGTGTTCACAATATATACTCTTTTATTCAGTGTTTGAATGCACACTACTGTTCATCTTCAACGACAAAACCTTCCTTTTATCCACTCACAAACTTTAAGGTTATGAGATGTAGAAATGTGTCTCATATTCAGAGAAGAAAACAAGTTCCTGAATCTTAAATAAAACTGATCAGAAATCAGAGAACTTACGATGATCAATCAAATCCATGAAAACAGGAACTTTCACAGTGTACGAAGACGAAGTCTGATTTGCAGCCAGAGTTCTGCTATGACACTGGCGCCAATTGTTGTTGTTGTTGTTGTTGTTGTGATCAATCTGACTGTTTTCGGAGCGTTTAGTTGTAAGATTAGCCTAAATTTAAAGTTTGGATTAATTAACAGTCACATTATCAGTCACTTCTATTGGTGTAGTTGTTGCTACTGTTGTTGCTGTGCACCTGTCTGTCTGTCTGTCTGTCTGTCTGTCTCTGTTTCCGTCTCTGTCTCTCTCTCTCTCTCACCCCAACTGGTCGAGGCAGACGACCACCCACCTAGAGCCGGAGGATCTGTCCTAGGTTTCTGCCTTTTAACAGGCAGTGTTTCCTTGCCCTTGTCTCCAAGGTCTTGCTCATGGTGGTACTGTTGGGTCTCTGTAATTAATGTTATAAAGAGTTTGGTCTAGACCTGCTCTATAGTGTCCTGAGATAACTTCTGTTATGAATTGGCGCTATACAAATAAAATTGAATTGAATTGAATTAGTCTCCAGGAACATCCACAGTCACAGACCTGTTTTATCTTATGAACTGGTTGTTTGAACTCTTTTAGCCTCCGTAGCACCGCTGATAAACCTTATTCTGACTTTCATCACTCAAACACAATTTCCTGTGACATGTGTGAGGTACAGTAAATAATGATATATATATAAAATGCAGTATAAAATATTGTATTACACACTACTATACTATAGTATCTAATATACTATAGTATACTTTTATATAATAATAATAATAATAATAATAATAACAATAATAATCAGAGACAGTACAAACACTTATAGTTAGTGTAAACACTAACTCACCTTTCCCAGCTGCTGATGAACACTCAGGTTGTACATCATCACGATCCCATCAACAATCTCCAGAAGGGACTTGTCTGCGATTGGCTGATCGGGCTCCTCCAGCGGTCGCCCCAGCAACAGGCCGTCGTTACCATGGCTTCCCTCGACTTCAGGTTGAGGAGAAACAAATGGGAAAGAAAAGAGAAAGTGAGAGGAAACATAAGAGACTCCAGGTGTGGACTCCCGTGGGTGGGATCCAGCTGGATAATTGGCCCCACACTGGCTTTTCTAACACGAGTCCATCATGGATCCGGTTCCTCACTGGACAGAGTGAATACAAACACAGCTGTTTAAACCTGGCTAATGAAGGTTCGCCAGTGTTAGAGAATAATATCAACATGAGACCTGGAGTCTACATGTGAGGCTGATTACACCGAATAAAACCCAACCTGCTGCCAGCAGTCAACAGGAAAATATTCTGAATGTAGGAAACTGCAAATTAAAGCTTCACCAGCAGCGACGAGGATCCACAGTTCAATTCAATTCTTTATTGAATGTTTGTGTGAGTGTGTAATCCGTGTGACGCTGATAATGATCCTGATCAGTCTAATCAATAATCAATAGTCCCATTATTAAAGCATTAATCAAACTAATACTGTCAGACAACCTGATCAGCCTTCAGCAGTTAGCTAGTGTTTCTGTAGTGGAGACTAAATGTTAACAATGATCCATATCAGCAGTTTGAATCCAACTAAAAGCTCCCTGCACCAAACTCCCTTTAAAGAAATATCACATTTTAACAATTCCTAACGTGTTCGTAACAACACGTAACTCTAGAAACACGAGCTAAAGGCCGTCATATGTCCACAGTCTGACTGTCAATACAGGATCAATATCATCCATAAAGATACAGTGTATACTGATCATAATCCATACGATCAGTGAACTGATTAATCCATAAAGATACGTGTTACTGATCACCCATAAAGAACAGTATATACTGATCAATATCATCCATAAAGATACAGTGTATACTGATCAATATCATCCATAAAGATACAGTGTGTACTGATCAATATCATCCATAAAGATACAGTGTATACTGATCAATATCATCCATAAAGATACAGTGTATTCTGATCAATATCATCCATAAAGATACAGTGTATTCTGATCAATATCATCCATGAAGATGCAGCGTCATCATTAAAAAGTCTAAATTAGCGTCTTTACGTTCTTTTAGCGGTTTACACACAGCGATCTGCCTCTGATCTGGAGGAGGTTGGAGAGCTACTCACTGTCCTCCTCAGTCCTCTGCTCCACGGCGAGGGTGCGAACTTTCACTTTCTCCGGCTGTGTGAGGGGTCGTCTGGGGGTCATGAGACTGACGGCGGCCGTGCTCAGGAAACGATTGGCTCGACCCAGAGTGGGAGAACTCAACCAGCTGGGCCTCGCCAGAGCTCCGCCCATCGCCGCTGCACCAAATGGCCTCTGTCGATAAAAACACAAACCTTCAATGATGAGCTGTGTTTCAACTGATTTCATTCTACTTTGCTTTAAATAGTTTGTTATTCGTCTGCTGCAAAACCTGCATCCTTCTGGAAACATGAGCCCAATCAGCCAGATGGTGGCACTGTCAATAGGGCCCAAAAAGCCAATTTTAAGTTAGTCGAAGCTTCAACTGGACTATAACTATAGTCACATTATGTCAACATCTGTCAAAATCTGTTTTTACCCTATTGTGCAGCCCCAACAACAACAACAACGACATCATAGTTTTGTTCAGTAGCTGCATTACTCTTCTGCTTTTCTAAATACATTCATAGAACTAGTTTGTTACTTTTAATTACACAACCATAATTGGTGTAATTCATATGTATTTATCAATATGTAGAATTAATATGAAGATAAAAAAAAGAACACATGGAAAGAGAAACACGCCACCTGTGCTGCCCCGCTCTCCTCGTCCTCGTCCAGGTCATCCATAGATGTGGTCTGGATCTCTGCGGGGTCGATGATGATGTTGGCTTTACTGGCCAAATCATCTGGTCCACAAAGAAAGAAACAAAGTTCAGTTACATTCAGTGGATTTATTCCCTGCTCGTACATACAGCAGTAGGTGATTTCAGAGGGGTTGCCACCGTCATTTGTTAACTGCAGAAGGCGGCAAACAAACGCAGCTCATCCAAACGAATCCCGTTGAATTTCTTATCCAAGGCCCACACAGTTCAGTCCCTTCGTCAATAATTATTGATTACCTAACAACTGTAGTAAAGCTTGTTAAATGTTGATATCTTCTACTGAATCTTCCTGTCTGCTCACACAGACAATAAGTGTAGTTTACAGGTAGAAACTCTGCATCCATAGAGGTAGTGTCTTAGCATGTTTCCATGATTATCTGCACCACTTCCTGGATTTCTGCTGTTTACCTTCACCTGCCTGAACTAAAGAGCACCTGTCAGATCAGATATCGGAGCCATGCAGCGCCTCCTTCCTCCTCTTTAAACAGGACTCCCACGTTATTTTCCAGGAGTTTTCTCTACAATGCAGGACAGAACTTGCTCATATAATTTACCAGTAGCCCTCCCATTGACACATTTAACTCCATTTTAGTTCCTCCTTCATGAAGTGTCTCAGGTCCATTACAGGTAGGTTGTTGGTGTTTATGGGGCAGTCCTTTTTCATGCCGTTCTTGGCTGTTCTCACTGCAGCAGATTCTTCTGCTTCAGCCTCCAGCGAATTAACTACAGTTTAACTGTAACATTGACACAACTGTTCGCCACCAGGCCGTTCTACTCCACGTCTGGTATCACAGCACGCAGCTCCTCCTAGAGTTCAGGTTTCAAACTAAATACACACCCAGGTTTATGTAGGTGATCAGAGTGAGGGGTAAAATACTATTAAAATTTCCCAGGACAACAAGGATTATTTGAAGGATATTTGGTCATTTAAATTCATTTCCAGGTGTTTTTATAACTGGAAAACTAGTCTCTAATATCCCAGGTTTCCATGTTTAAACTGATATCAATGTGTGTTTCATGTCTGTATGTTCACATTTCACTCAGTTCTCACTCTGATGTTTTTGACTCAAATTTACCTTTAACTCTCTGGCGCCCCCCCGTGGAGGCTTTAGTCTTTGTCCTGTCTGTTACAGAACCTGTAACATTAGTTAATGAGGAGCTTGAAGATTTCATTCCTAAAACCTGTACTACCAGAAACTGCACTGTGTACTACATTCCTCTCACGTGTACTTTATGCAGATGGAAAAGCTCTGCCTGGCATTCAATCAAACTGAGCTAATCAATAACTGAGATCAGGCTTAGTTAACAACAGATGACACAACATCACGAGAGCAGCCAGTGTGTGATGAATGACCCAGTGATTTACAGAGCAGAATGGTGGAGGTGTTAATCAAGCCTTGATTTAATGCAGGTAGCTCTGCAGGATGGACGCAAATACTGATGAGAGGGCAGGAAGGACATATAGAGGGAGGGTGGAGAGAGAGAAAGAAAGAGAAGGAGCAGAAAGTGAGGAAGTAGGGTAAGAAAGGAGAAATTAAGTGTGATGAATTAAAGCAATGAAATCGACCTAAAGAAACCAGGTGAAAGCAGTAAACAGCATTTACACTCTCAGGTTGAAAACACAATGTCTGACTAACAGTTACTGAAATCTAACCTCCACTAACTATCATCTATTCATCTACTATAACTTATATTATATTATAAATTATAAATTATATTACATTATCTACTATAACTTATATATTATACCACCTACACTGCAGACTTTAAGTACTGCACTGAGTTGTGTCATCTGCAGAAATTCTCTGATGACACGGCTATTGTGGGGTGTGTTGAGGGTGGGAGGGAGGCTGAGTACAGGGACCTGGTTGATCGCTTTGTGAAGTGGTGTGGGGAGAACCACCTGCAGCTGAACGTGGCAAAGACAAAGGAGATGGTGGTGGATTTTAGGAGGAACAAGCCCCTGCCCTCTCCTGTCAGCATCGGGGTGACCGATGTGGATATGGTGTCGGCATATAAGTACTTGGGTGTCACACTAGACAATAAACTGGACTGGTCCACAAATACAGAGGCCATCTACAAGGAGGGCATGAGCAGGCTTTACTTCCTGAGGAGGCTCAGGTCCTTCAATGTCTGCAACAGGATGCTACAGACGTTCTATCAGTCTGTTGTGGCGAGCACCATCTTCTTTGCTGCCGTGTCCTGGGGTGTGGGCATTAAGGCAAAGGACGCCAACAGACTGAACAAACTCATTGAAAAGGCTGAATCTGTTGTTGGCTTGAAGCTTGTCACCCTGGAGGAGGTGGTGGAGGAAAGGATGATGTCAAAACTGCTGGCAATCATGGACAATCCCACCCACCCCCTCCACACAACACTGGACAAGCTAAAGAGCAGCTTCAGCAACAGACTCATTCAACCACGCTGCTCTCAGGAACGATACAGGAGATCGTTCCTCCCCACTGTTATAAGACTGTATAACTCATCTGCCTCTGTCAGATCCACAATCACAGAACTGGACTAAATCTACCTGTGGAACATAAACTTCATCATATACTATCATATGTGATATGTGTTAATATAAACCATGTTTATATTATATATCATATTTATACAATATATTATTATTATATTACAATATATAAGATATTATCTATTGTATGTATATCTTCTTGTATAGTCAAGTATGTATTATACATATGCTATATATCATATCATATCTTGTGTAAATATATATGTGTACATATTATATATATATTGTGTATATATATTACAGTATGTATGTATGCACACCTTGCACAGGCTGAATATATGACACATGTTTACATTATATCAATATTAATGTATAATATCTATGTGTGTATACTAAAATATTATTAACATTATCATTATATACTGTTATTATTATATACTGTTATTAACAATAACACTACCATCATGTCATCAATACTATTACCACCATCTTGCAACTACAACTCTTTGCACATTACCTACCTATTTATCTTTTTTATCTATCTATCTATTGTAACTTATATTATATATTGTAACTTATTCTTACTTATATATTATATACTATAACTTAAATTATATTATAACTTATATTATATTATCTACTATAACTTATATTATATATTATAACTTGTCTCTTTGTGGCTGACATGTGTCTCTTTGTGGCTGATATGTGTCTCTTTGTAGCTGATATGAGTCTCTTTGTGGCTGATATGTGTCTCGTTGTGGCTGATATGTGTCTCTTTGTGGCTGATATGTGTCTCTTTGTGGCTGACATGTGTCTCTTTGTGGCTGATATGTGTCTCTTTGTAGCTGATATGAGTCTCTTTGTGGCTGATATGTGTCTCGTTGTGGCTGATATGAGTCTCTTTGTGGCTGACATGTGTCTCTTTGTAGCTGATATGAGTCTCTTTGTGGCTGATATGTGTCTCGTTGTGGCTGATATGTGTCTCGTTGTGGCTGATATGTGTCTCTTTGTGGCTGATATGTGTCTCTTTGTGGCTGACATGTGTCTCTTTGTGGCTGATATGAGTCTCTTTGTGGCTGATGTGAGTCTCTTTGTGGCTGATATGAGTCTCTTTGTGGCTGATATGTGTCTCGTTGTGGCTGATATGTGTCTCTTTGTGGCTGATATGTGTCTCTTTGTGGCTGATATGTGTCTCTTTGTGGCTGATATGAGTCTCTTTGTGGCTGATATGTGTCTGTCTGTGATATGACTTGCTTTCTGTGGGTTCCATTAGTAGAAAGAGGTGCTGATCCATTTCACAGAGACCATTAACATGGGGGTCAGACTTCACAATGAGCTGATGGGTCACATCAATCTATCCCTGCTGAGAGGTGAGGCCTTGTTCCCTTTACAGGTTGAGGGCACAGAAACAGTCTCACTGCTGAACAAGCGTCCATGTTGTGTCTCTAACGAGGGGACAACAGATCCAGATCAGCAGCAACCAACCAACGGCTCCACCTCCCTTCCTCTGAATGAACTCATAACAACCCACATCAAGACTCCACCTGGTGCTAACGTGATCTATGGCTGATGACGATCTAAATGAAAAGTCAGAGGATCAATAAAGTTATTACATTGGGGACATGAAGGTCTGAACCACATTTCAACACAGTCCATTCATCAGTGGTTGAGATATTTCAGTCTGGACTGAGAGTTTAAAGGCAGATCTGAACTTTTCGTGTCCTCAGCTGTTAAGATGAGCGACTTTTGAAGGACGTGTGATAAACCGTGCTCCCTCACCGCTTCTCTAAATAACACAGATAGCAGCTCCTCCTCTCAGGAAAGATCAAAATGAATGAGTCTCTGTAGCAGGTAATTGATTCCAGTCGTGCCACTCGGTCTTCTCTGGCAGTGAATGAGCAGCATATTGCTCATACAGCGAGACTGCTGAGGGAATATCAATCCACATTACACACCTGTCTCACACACCTGCTGACAAGCAAACAGCAGAGCCTCCGTCAGAGTGGAACAGCAACATGTTCTGACTGTATCTCTGTGTTAAACCTGGAATCAATACATGCCTGTGTTTGTGTTTCTCACAGCACAAAGTCATTCCTCCCTCTAGTGGAGCTCAGCGACTGCCAGCAGGAAACACCCCTGCAGGGTTTGTTTTTATCCCCTCTTCATTAGAGTCACATCAAACTGCCTCTTTAACGCTCTGACTCACCTTCACTTTCATTGTTTTATTCACAATCAGCAGATTTATTAACAGTCTAGCTGCTACAATCACATTTCTACCATCATAACATCCTGTGATTGGCCTGTTTGCTTTCACACCACAAATATCAATCAGAACTGGAAGGACAGAATACTGTTTATACTGCTTCTATTAACTGTTTATACTGCGTCTCTTTACTGTTTATACTGCTTCTATTAACTGTTTATACTGCTTCTATTAACTGTTTATACTGCGTCTCTTTACTGTTTATACTGCTTCTATTAACTGTTTATACTGCGTCTCTTTACTGTTTATACTGCTTCTATTAACTGTTTATACTGCTTCTATTAACTGTTTATACTGCGTCTCTTTACTGTTTATACTGCTTCTATTAACTGTTTATACTGCTTCTATTTACTGTTTATACTGCTTCTATTTACTGTTTATACCGCGTCTCTTTATCGCTTTATACCATGTCTCTTTACTGCTTATACTGCGTCTCTTTACTGCTTTATACCGCGTCTCTTTATTGCTTATACTGCGTCTCTTTACTGTTTATACTGCTTCTATTTACTGCACTGTCAGCCTGCTGTTGTTGCAGCTCTGCTCTCCTTTACGGCAGACAGCAGCATCCTGATGGAGACAACAACAGACCTCATTGTGAACAGACATACTAACCTTTGAGCGTTTTCTTCAGGTGGGAGAGGAGCCCCCCAAGTCTCTGCAGGTCAAAGTAGTCTACCTTCCCGTTGTAGAAGAGCTGGGGAGGGACGTAGGCCTCTGCAGAAAGATGGCACAGGGAGAGAGTAACAGTTAGGAATGATCAATTAATTATTTTAAGTTACTGTTACCTGTTTTTTGAATTTAAGAACAACTTCATAGGGCCATTTTGTTCCATACAGGGAGACACTTCAGGTTCAAAACTCTCTCTGATGTTACTGCAGTAAAATAATATTACAACTGACCCCTTATATTCTTCATGTAGTTGTTGGGCAAATGTCAGTGCTGTAGATACGGGGCATGGGTCTGTACTATTTGATTCATATAACAGAAACAATAATGATGTTATTAATATTAATTTATTTCATAGGTTTTAGTGAAGACCAATAAGTTGACACTAATTGTACGATTGCTGCTTTATTTAGCTTATTTTTGTTTTTCTTCTTCCGTGTGTTATTTGGACGATTATATCTTGGGACACACATCTCTTGGGACAAACATCTCTCGAACACGTATTCAATTACATTTTCTTCACAAAATGCAAATATTTGTAGTTGTTAAAGACGTCTTTCTTTGCTCTGGTTACTGACATACATGTCGTACCTTCGCTGCTGACGCTGCCTGGACTCTTCCTGTTGCCTTCGTCCCAGCTGGCCCTCACTGCTGTTATGAGGCGGTGCAGGAAACACACCATGTACTCCGGAGGGCAGAGAGCTGTAGGATGCTGCTCAAGAACACAAAACACACACATTTTATGTGCTGGAAGAAAAACACCCACGGGAGGTACCGGAGGCAAGTTCCACTACAACAAATATTCTTAGTAACAAAATGTGTTTGCCTTCCTTAAAAACTGAGGCTGTAATATTGACTCCATCACTTCAAACTGAGACAGTTTACATGTTCCAATCAAAGAGTGAATCAGTCACATGACTTTATGTTAAAACGTCAGTATGAACATGAATCAGATCAGAACTAAGAGATAACATTGATCATTTATTCTGTGAAACAGACCTCTTTTTACCTGTCCACAATATCTATCAATATCTATTATTAGAGCTGAAACTAACGACTCAATCTTCAGATCAATCAATTAGAAAAATAAAATGTGATAAGTAGCTTAAAAAAAGATCAACACAGACTTCAAGGTGACGTCTTTAAATGTCTCATTTTGTTTCCAATCAACAGTCCAAAATATTCAGACTTCTGTTCTTTATGGAGCTGATCAATAATCTATAATCAATAATCAATAAGCAGAAGCTGTCATACATTGATTGTTAACCATCAACCAAACTTTATTCAGTGTGTTTAGTGGTTTTAATCAGCGGGTCTGTTTGTGTTGGAGAGGAGGAGACCTCTGTGGATCATTGGGCTCCCGGTAGAAACCTCCTGAACCATGAACACTGAAGGAATCCTAACCGGGAGAAGCTGACTGCAATGACGCCAATGGTGGTGAAGACAACAACTCCCATGATCCCACACTGCTTCACCACCTCATCACACTTCCTGATTTTTTATTGTTTGGATGTGACAGATGTTTTAGATGAGGACTGAATGATGAAATAAAGCTTACCCCTCTGTTGCTGGCGTTTTCTTGGAGAAACTTCCTGAACTTGTTGAGGAAAATGTAGCGAGAAGCTTCACCCTGAGAGAGACAAAGAAAACTCATCACACTGATCCTTTGCTCAGGCTGAGTGAGGCAGAGCTCATTACTGTTCACCCAGTCGATGGATCAAACTAGTTTTATTAATGAACTTTATCACTGAAGTGTGAAGAACTGAACCAAACTGCTGTATTCACGATTTTAATCAATCAGACACTAAACGGACAGTTAGACCTGATCAGTCCTCAGTGTCATAAAGACATAAAGAAACATTAGACCATAGATTCCTGTTGTATCAATAACAGTGTTTGCTTCCTCAGGAACCTTCCACCAGAACGTTCCACCAGAACCTTCCTCAGGAACCTTCCACCAGAACCTTCCTCAGGAACTTTCCACCAGAACGTTCCACCAGAACCTTCCTCAGGAACCTTCCACCAGAACCTTCCTCAGGAACCTTCCACCAGAACCTTCCACCAGAACGTTCCACCAGAACCTTCTTCAGGAACCTTCCACCAGAACCTTCCTCAGGAACCTTCCACCAGAACCTTCCACCAGAACGTTCCACCAGAACCTTCCTCAGGAACCTTCCACCAGAACCTTCCACAAGAACGTTCCACAAGAACGTTCCACCAGAACCTTCCTCAGGAACCTGAATGTCTCTGTATGAACTTTACCTACCGTAGTTTTATCTTTGTTATTGAGCAGCAACTTCAGGATCTGAACCTGCAGCTCTTCCACCACTGACACAGAAACAGAGATCAGTACCATTATTGATCAGTATACACTGTATCTTTATTGATTATTGATCAGAATACACTGTATCTTTATGGATGATATTGATCAGTATACACTGTATCTTTATGGATGATATTGATCAGTATACACTGTATCTTTATGGATGATATTGATCCTGTATTGACAGTCAGACTGTGGACATATGACGGCCTTTAGCTCGTGTTTCTAGAGTTACGTGTTGTTACGAACACGTTAGGAATTGTTAAAATGTGATATTTCTTAAAGGGAGTTTGGTGCAGGGAGCTTTTAGTTGGATTCAAACTGCTGATATGGATCATTGTTAACGTTTAGTCTCCACTACAGAAACACTAGCTAACTGCTGAAGGCTGATCAGGTTGATTAATGGGAGTATTGATTACTGATTAGACTGATCAGGATCATTATCAGCTAATTGTCGTCAGTTTAAGGGCAGTGTGCTGTAAATGCTTTGTGTGCCTGTCTTTAAACATGATGTTATTAATGACTCCTGATGAGTTGACCTCCTGTTGCTGTGTGAATAAAGATTGAATATAAACAGGTGGGAGATCTACAAACACTACAAACTATGAATGAGAAACTTTCCATACAGACACTGAAGATGTGAGAACATTTGGAGACTCCTGAATGGGGACTAACAGATGGATAAAGACATGAAACTAAATAAAGTCTGACCTTCAATCCTCTTCTTGAGTCTCTGGCAGCCTCTCTCGTACGCTCGACGCCTCAGTCGCTCATCAGCGCTCTCATCTGCAGGCTCCCGCTCGTCTTTCCCCTGACAGGACGATACAGACATAATGTTATTTAATAAACTGTCTGTATTCACAACAGCTGGCACTAAATACATTTACTCATCAGCTCAATCCTGCCTCCTCTCCACAGCCTCCAGATCGGAGCAATTTCCTCCCTCAACAGCTGTCAGGTCACCTGAGGGGGGCGGAGACAATGAGATGCACCAGGTGTGTTTGTTTTTACCTCCTTGTCAAAGTGCGTGGGCCACCAGGTGGTTGGGATGAGCTCCTCTAGCCCCGCCTCCTTCACTCTCAGAGGAGTCTTGATGTAAAAAAACACGACTGAACGCAGAACATCAAACGTAAACTTGTGTTAAGGAAAATATTTCAGTTCACTTTCAGCCGACCGACCACGATTTCAGGAGTCGCGCTCAGGTTAAAGACGTGAACAACACGAAGAGACAGAAGAACATCTTTCTGTCTCCGGTTTCTGTCCAACAGGGACAGGAAGTCCTGTTTCAGGTGTCTTCAGGTGTTCTGAATGGTAATGGTATGGTAACATTGCAGTACCGAGGTCATTCACAGAGTTTCTGATGGGCAGACAGAAACCGCTAGCCAACCGCTAACATTCGTTAGCTCAGTCAGCCATGCAGCTAAGCTAACTGACTCATCCCCGGGAGGCCAGGAGCCAAACCCGGAAAGAAACCACCTCGGTACTGGATTTCCTGTCGGTCTCGGAGGTTGTGTTCGGTCCCGAGCCAGACTATGTTCACTGGAAGGTAGGAGCTGATGCTAGCTCATAGTGCTAGCTGCTATTAGCTGCTGTAAACAACAATCACTATCCGTTACAATTTCCTTCAGCTACAGCTCTCTGCTTCCTGTCTCATGGACTTTCTGATTTTACCTCAGTTACAATGTTTCCTCATACAGAACC